GTTCTACGTTATTTGTGCATATCAGTCATAATTATAACTCTCTTTTAACTAAAAATGTAACAATTAGAGTATACAAAGACTTTAAAGTTAACAATGGGATGTTCCCAAAAGAACGTTCATATATTAATGCGTAAGACACTACAACATAAAATATCAACCAATAAACATTTTTCTTGTTAAAAAAATCCACAAATAAACTTTTTTTTACTATGAATATAGAGTATGATAAAAAAAATGAAATCTCTTTGCCATTTCTTCCAATCTCGTTATTTGCTTATATGTTCTGTTGTCTAGTCTAATTGGAGGTGAAGTCGTCCACCTGCTCGACTTGCCCTTGGGGTCAAAAGGAAGAAGCTGCCTTGCCTTGGCCGTGCATGGCTTGTGCTGGGCCTGAGTCATGTCCTTCTAAGCTATCGAACACATTAGAAAAAAATTGACAGAGACAGTAGAAACGAACGTTAAACTTGACATCATTTTATTCCAAACCGCACTGAACCTTTAATTCTGATACACAGTTAACTTAGGGATTAACGGACCTTGTCACTAAAATTCTAGCACATAAAGAAGTACCCATGCATGACTACACTACTTTCCCTGAATCCGGACGGATCAAAACCCAATAAAGCAATAGCGGGAAATTCATTCAAGTAAATAGTTAAAAATAAAGGTAGTGATTAAAATAATTATGTTGACATGGAGAATTTTTTATTTTAAAGAGATTATTCATTTATCGATTGATAACATGAAGTCATGTCCAATTAGTTCTACAAAAATGTAATGGATGCCGAATGCCTATTGAATTATTATTATTATTTATCCTGATGAAAATGATATCATGACGGAATAACATACTAATAAAGAGTTTATTCAAGGGCGATTAACATGCCAATCGAAAATGATTATAACTCAGATAGTTTTATTTTACTAACTATTTTTCCAAAAGAAGTCTTTTAAGTATGGGCGGATATAGGGTAGTTCAGTTTGAGTATCTTTAGAACCGAATCGAGCTAGGACTAATCGATTTTGGTTCAACTCGGTCCCTATTTTTCTCATGAACATAATTGTTTCGGTCCATTTTTTTATGCTTCAAAAATAATTTTTAATGTGTAATCGTCGATCGAGAAGAAATGGTCCATTCGAATCAAATCGATTTAAAATGGAACCAGATTAGGTGATTCAGGGTTAAAATGTCCATTCATAGTTTCAAGCATAGTAACTTTGAATGATTATTTTTTAAAAAAAAGTTAAAAACATACCAAATGTGGTATATGCATGGCAAACAAATTAGAGATGATGTAGAGCTCGATTTGATTATAAAGAAGCAAGCAATTTTAGATGTATATTTTCAGTTATCAAGGATTTATTGCATTGTGATATATTTGATAACATTTTTAAGTGATTATAAGTTGTGAGTCCTAAAAAGCAATTATAAGTTGTATTACAAAATATTTGAATAGTGAATAGTAAATTATTAATCATACAAACTACGTGGATAAAAATATATTTGATTAGATTAAAAAAATTGAGCCTTGCCAAACATACATTTAAGGTCCGTTTGGCATGACTTTTAAGAAGGGAAAAATTCACTTTTTCTTCTATAAGAAGTAAAAACAAAAGTCAAGTCAAACGGACATTTGCTAAACTCACAAACTGTACTATTTTCACTAGAATATTAAGCATTTGTTTGATGGTCATTATTGAGAAAAGTTTTGAATAATAATTTTTTGGAGAATGTGTTATTAAAATGTAGAAAAAGTTTTTGATTTACGAATAAAATATTTTATGTGTGAATATTTTATTGTGTGAATTTGTAGTTGAAAAAAAGTATGAGAATTAAAGAGTTTTATTTTAAAACGGAGACAAAGGTGGATTGAAAATCCTACTTTTAGGGTTGAAAAGAGGGACGATTGCCCCTACTACCCCTCCCCCATTTTTTTTTATTGAGCAAAAAAAAAAAATGGTAATTTTATTATTTTACAGAAAACAAATGAATACAAATAATTGTCATCACAAAATAAAAGCTTTTATATGACTATACACTTATCCTAAATAATTAAATAAAATTTAGTTGAGTTAGAGTAAAAATAACTTTATATTATATTTAGGTTTAGTTGTAATTAGTGAGTAGGCATAATAATCCATCGTCTATAGATTTTGCTTCAATCAAATAGTTAGGTGTAAGTAGGGGGTGGACTTGGGTCGGGTTGAGTCGATTTTTGTCTCAACTCAAACCAAACACAACTCAACATGATCGGTTTGATCAAAATTTAACTCAACCCAATCCAACCCGTGTAAAAGTTGAAATCTAACTCAATCCAACCCAACCCAATCAAGTATCAATCGAGTTGGGTTGGTCAGTTTGGGACACCTTGTCAACAAAAATTAAAGTCATCTAATTTTCTATTATACTAAATTCGAATAGACAATATTAAATAGTAAGTAAATAAATAAATAAATAAAATTATCTATTATCTTATTCAATCTTCATTAGCTGAACCTACAAAGAACAAAGTGTATTTAAAATAACATGAAAAACTTATACTACATTTTTTGTGGGAAGAACAGTAAGCTCATCCTCTAAAATAAGCCAAAGTAATTACAGTTACACTATCTACTCTACTCATACTTTTTTAGTTTCTTTTACTTTTTTAGGTATTTCATATCTTTAATTTATTATTATTATTTTTTAAGTGTTGAGTTGGACGGGTTTATTCAGTTTTCTTGAGTTAACCCATAACCCGACCCAACACTATCCGTGTAAAAACAACAAAAAAATCGAACCAACCCGGTCGGGGTCGATTCGATTTGGGCGGGTTCGATCAGGTTTTGTCCAGCCCTAAGTGTAAGTTCCTTATAACCCTCCGATTGGGAAGAATTTATAAGTGGCTTAACTTCTAAATAGTTGATAGTACTTGAATATCCATTGAAATGTGCAGTTTCGATCATTTAAAACCTAATATTTAAAAGGTGCTCGATTTCTGATTAAGAAATTTAATATCAAGAAAAATATTATTTACCGAATATCAAATTCTATTATGGAGATGAAACACTATGAAATTTTTTGTTTTGCCAATTTTTCAAATATTTTATCAACCACGAATAATGTCATTAAAGATGGTGAGGTAAAATATCAGTGTCTCACTTTGGTCCGCATTGCCACTAACTAGAAGTTTTGGAAAGACTTGCGAGGGATATTCTGATAATCAATTCTTCTATCGCTTTTGTTGCATATGATTTTAAGTTTGATGAAAACTATTGAAAGGGAAATTAAAGAAAAAGTATGATAACACCAAATTGATGGACCTTAGATGGCAATTTTTGGTTGTGGGCACCTTTTTTTAGTCAGGACAATACCCATAAATTCCAATATGCAAGGTTTTAATTATGAGCGACGGTCCACCTTCTTTCTAATTATTTTTTTTTTTCCAAGAGGGTACAATTAATTCTTCTTCATATGAATAAACAATATATTTAAAATTTCAAAATAAAATAATATTAATTGAAAAATATCTTTCGTGGTGCAAACCGTTATGGCCCTAAATTAAATGACCATGCATCCCATGTCTCCCTCCCACTATAAACATCACATCTACGAACCATTATTTTGCCACTTCAAACCGTAATTTCTAATCAATTTTTAGTTTCATCCACAATTGTATGTATGAAATTTAGATAAACGAGTGTCGATGAGACTTAAAATCAAGATATTATGTACACGAGTTCACAAGTCAAGTATTAAACGAGCTTTAGGAACGTACTAATTGCTTATAATCTTATTAAAAGGTTCATTTCTCGTATGGAAAACTCGAAAAAGTCGGAAAAAGGGAGAACAATATTTAGTATAGTAGTCAATTCAATTGAAAATAATAAAAAAAAAATTGGGATTAATATAAAAGTAGTTTACTAGCTTTGGGTCTTTCTGGTTTGGGAGGGAAGTGGGAAGAATTGAGAGTGAAAGCAAGTTGTAAAAAGAGTGAGGCAAAGACATCAAAAGAAAAAGGCTGGCTTTAGTTTTACTTTATTGGTTCTTTCTTCTGTTGTCTTTTTTCATGCACATTAACGTAAAAAGGGAAAAATCTGATTGAATTATTTTCTATTGTAAAACTCTGTGCTTTTTTAATAAATGATTTTAGAGAAAGGGAATGTCGTTATAATAATAATTGGTTACGTAAGCGAATGTAAGAGCAATTGTGTTGTCTACTAAACATCATTTCCGACTCCGAGGCAATTAGTTAGGCTATATACCGTTATACACGAAAAAAGGCTTTAAAACGCGAAAAAAATGTGGTATCACAAAGATATTAATGTCGTGTTTTTTTGCGTAAAAAGTCTCTTTCTTATTTCTCTATCAATTATTAAGCTCATTAATGAATGTCTTGATCTACTCAGGCCACACTACATTATAAAATTTTCTTTTCGTTCAGTTTTGACAATTTTACGAACGTTTGTGTATACGTTAACGAAATTGGAGAATCTGTGATTAAAAAAAACAGTAAAGTGTATTATAAATTAATGGGATGAAATGGGAACTAAATCCACTGCTATTTAATTTATCTAACAAACTTCGAATCATACGGCAAATACCAGTTAAAGATTGTAACAAAATACACGTGTCAAACTCTTAGCTTTTACGCCAAATGTTCGTTCAACGAAAAAAATTCGAGGTAGATCTGTCAAACGGAGCCGTCAAGAATCCCGTTACCGTTAACGGAGGATGGACCACGCTAATAAGAAGTCTGCACATTAGCATCTTCGTCATCATCATTACCCACTCACCTGCTCACTCATTCTTTCTCTCTCTAACAGAAAAAGTGCAGCAGCAGTACATAATTCCCAGAACCTTCGCTTGTACACACAGTTTGGATATATGTACACACAGAATGAAGAGAATTCTCTTCTCACAGGTTTTCCATTGCAAAATCTGAGCATGTTTTAGAGAGAGGAAATTGAATAGCATACAACTTCAGTTGCTTTCGGTAAAATTTGATTTTAGAAGGTATATGAGGAAGTGTAAGGGAATTGGAGAAGTCGCGTTTGAGGAGGTTGTGGAGGTAGGCTTAAGGATGACCAGAGCTAGAACTGCCCTAGCGGATGCAACGGCTGAGGCTATGAAGGCGACAGAGAGAAAGAGAAAAGTTGGCGAAGGAGAATTGGAGGTATCCAGATCCGCAGTTCAGCTAAAATCTCGGCGTGTTGCCACCGTGCCAGATAATTCAGCTTCACCGGCGACTTCTGCAAATTTATCATGCGCGAGCATTAGCTCCAATCATGTTTCAGCATCTTGCTGCTCAAGCAATGGATTGAGCGAGGTGGATAAAGAGAGTTCCAAATTCTTAGATCTGGAGGTATTCTGAAAGAATTTAACTCGATCTTAAAGCGCTTCTATTCCACGGAAATTACAGAAAATGGATTGATTTTTTGTCTCAGCTGCTTTGATTTTTATGTTTTGAGGTTTGAATTTTGAATTTGTTTTCTAATATAGGATGAGAATGAAGTCAGCGCGGAGGAGGTTGCAACATCAACTGGTGATTCGGTGGATTGCAATGAGAGGTAAATTTTCGATATAAATGTGATTCTTCTCTACACGTCTCTTCAATTCAAAATTTAAATCTCCAGATGAATTGAACCTCAACGGCTGCAATTTCCTTAATTTTTTCGTTCAAAATTTCTCACACGCCATTTCTCTCTCTCACTTCCAGTCATGAATATGAATACTTCTCCTTCTTCACAAAAGCAAGTACACTTTTTTTGTTTCAGCAAAGAGAAGACCCCATCCTCCGAGTTACAGTCTGAGTCAGGCGAGCTGGAATCCACGGAGAGGCCACACGAGGCTTGTTCTCGCCACCGCTCTCAGGCAGAGAAGATGCCATCAGAAGCGGAGCTGGAAGAATTCTTCGCCGCCGCCGAAAAGGACCTTCAAAAAAAATTTGCTCACAGGTAATTTTTCTCTCCTCACATAGTTAAAGCACCTCTGGATTCTTTGTGAACACGTTAACCATAATTCATACATTAATGCAGGTATAACTATGACATAGTGAAAGACGAGCCATTAGAAGGGCGCTATGAGTGGGTTCAACTTCAAGTAAAGCCATGAAGAAGATAAAAGTTATTTACAACTCGCAAGGCATGAAGATCATTACACTGGCTAACTATCTTCTCAACTGCTACAATTCTTATTTAAGTAATAGTATTAGTAAGTACTGGTTTCAATCTTAATCCATGTTTTCAATGCTCTTGAATGTATAGCTAGTTCTCTCTTTCTTTCTAGTCTTGTTTGCATATATTATCTGCAAGTAGATAACTGTAGTTTGTAGAGAAGAAGCTTCTGCAGCAATAAAATGGAAAATCAATCCCCTTTAAGGGAAAACATTGAAAAACCAAAAGTTCTTTTTAGTTTTTAGTCCTATTTTCTCCATGCCTGCCATTTCTCTGCACTGCAATTCTCCGATGCTTGTACAATACCAATCATATTGCTGTGCATCTTTAATTCAAGATTTCACTTTTCTCTTCCCTTTTCTTTATTTATCTTATTCAATATTCAGTCATAAATTATCATATCCTGGTAGTGGAATATGTTGGGGGTAGAAATTGGAATTTGAAGTGAAAATGTGAAAGGGCGATTAATTGAGCGAGTGAAAGAGAGAGTGTTTTGAGTAGTACAAAGCTAAAGAAGAAAAGAGCTTGCCGTGTAAGCTACGGGCACGTGTTGAAGATTGGGAAAGCTGACCTGGTCCCATGTGGGCGTGGGTTTGGAGTCTGGACTGGACCTATTTCTATATTTTTTTAACCCGACTTTAGCGCATTATAAAGTACAATATTATACTGAAATTATTACTTCCACAATGTTCTTTTACCAACAAATAAACCACAAGAAGCCAGTTTATACGGATTGAGTGAAATTTGTAGCCATCTGAGAGAGAGAGAGAGAGAGAGACAATTCACAAGTGTGGTACTGGAACTGTTACTTTTTAACAAAGGAAAGGAAATATGAACTCGCGGTGTGGAGATGTGGTCCTTGATTTTTTCTTTAGCAAATCGATGCATGAATTTGAAAGGGAAGGCTGGAGGGGTGGTAGGCCAAGACTTGAACCATATGAAGCCATATTTGATTATTAATGTTGACATCAAAATAGACTTTTACGATAACTCTCTAATAAGATATTTATATATAATTATAACGTTAACTTTTAAGTACAATATTTAGTTTTAAAACGAGGCCTTTCACAAAGTTTCAAAATGAAATGACGGCGATGAGTGTTTACTTAAAAATTCTTGTTTGGTGTGGTCTACTTTCAAATTAAACAACTATAAGTAAATGTTGCTAGTGAGGGATTACATTTAATAGTCTACACTTTAGATTAAAATCGAATGCTAATAGACTTGAAACTCTTACATTGGGAAGACAATTAAAATGATAATACAATAGAGCCCAGGGTGCCAACATTTGTCAGTGGCGAATGTTTCAGTGAACTCATAAAGCAAAATTAACTTATTGATTGGGATTTGTACAAGAAGGGAAGGGATTGTCACATGTAGGTGTTAGTGCAAGAACAAGCAAGAATGATTAGAAATGTGGTAACAGAAAGAGAGGAGAAAGGAAGTGGCACATGTACCACATTCCAAGCATCTTCCGATTTGATTCGGTACATAATTGCTAATGCGCGTATAGGTATCTTTCCACCTAATGCTATCGTTTTATATATGTATAAAGCCAAACAAATTTTTATGATATAGATTCTACATGTGATATTTGTATATAAAAAGTGTGAAGTAGGAGTGGGTGATGTAACTTTAGTAGGGAGAATACTAATTAATAATATACTTACTAATTGAAGTGTATAAACTAATCCCGATATGACACCATCTATACCAACTTTCTTCGAGATTAATGCTCTAGCAGTCTAATGATTTTTGTGTATAGTACACTAAGTTACCAATGTGGCCATGTGTTTTTATGGTAACATATGTATTATACAAAATAGACCTATTGAAAACAATAAATTGACAAGTTCCACTCGAACACTTTACGATTCAAACCATTGGACACCAAGATTTCACTGATCGAAGGCTCGGAGATATTGTACCCTTTTGTATCAATGCAGAAACCCCAAATTCACCAAAGAACCCTCGCAGTCACAGGTAACGTGTAGCTACTTCCATGTACCAGGGGAACTCAACGCCACCATAAAAAAGACACTCTTTCATCGGATTTCACAAAGAAAACTCACTCTTTAAACAGATTACAGAGTTACTCGAACCAGATGAGCAAATGAAAGAGAAGACAAATTACTCTAGAAAACCCTTGAGAAGATGAAGACCAAATGACGAAATTGATCTAGGGTTTCAACCAAGGATAGAATATATCGAGATTGAGGTAGCTATTGATCAACGGTCCAGAGAACTTTGCACCTTTAGTAATAAGGTAAAATAACAAAAGTCGCGTTTACCAAACAGTTTTCTACCTAGACCTGAATATTGGGCTTGGGTTTCACTGGGCACATTTAGTTAATGTTACCAGGCAATAGATAGGAACATGGTCCAAGCCCTTTTATTTATGGGGGTTGGATCTGACATCACAGCCCCAACAATATGATTAAAATTGAATCGATAATTTCTTTGGCTCAACCTTTCAATGGGTCTAATTTTGGTGTTGACATGATTTGATAGAAATATCATAACACTTACAGCCTGTTTGAACTCCATTTTTTTTTGTTAAGAATGTATTTTTGAATGGTAAATTAATGAAGAATGTTTGATTAAAAAATATGAAAAATTTTATATTTGTGTATAATATTATTTTATTAAAAAATGTATGATTTAAAAAAGAAAAAAGAAAAAATATATTTTAAAAATAATGAAAATCGAACGAATGCTTAATCGACTCTACACGTATGGTGAGAAATACATCAAACCACTCTACACTATTACCGTCCTTGTTCACGTGGTAAAGATAGAAATGATGACAAGCACGTGCATGGGTGTGTGCCGATTGTTTATGTAAAGTATGCATTAATTAGAATGAATACGAAGGACGTGCCTAAAGATATACCTAATGCTATTGCTAATTGTAATGATTTGGGATCCCAAAGACGCTATGAAGTTAATAAAGAAAAAGTAAGCACTTCCATCCAATAGTGGAAAATAGCGGCTAAAAACAGGCACCGCATTTTGTGCAGCATTCTTTTTGGATCTGCTAAATGTGCATGCAATGTGGTCCATTCTATTCCACTACGTTGAAATAATCTTTAATAAATAAAATACCTCACATTCTTCCCAAAAAAAGAAAATTATGGCCAAATATCGCATTTACATATAAAAAAATATAATATTTCATCCTATATTAGTGCATCGATTTTCATATCAAGCTCCTTTCTAGAATTTAATTCAACAATTTCGTATCTGATTAATGAAATTTTAAACTCATAACTAATATATTTTTAAAAAAATAGATCTGCAACCTATGCAATTGTTGAAATCTACACTTACGGTTAAACAAATAATATAAGTTTTCTGATTGTATCGAATTCTGAAAATGAATATGTTGTAGCATATCATGTTCATGTTTACATTTCTATGTTGAGTTATATCTACACCTATATAGTATTAGAAGACATTACATACGATTACTTAAGGATATTTTACCTTCCATGAGAACATTTTCATCTCTAGATTGTACGCAATATTTCATATTATTCAGACATATGTTTACCTCGATCTTTCATGGGATATTTGAAAAATGTAACAAATCCATTTCATTGACTTGAAACATTCTTGGCACGTCCCGAATAATAAACTGAAATGAATCTGCATTGTCACTTTTGTCAGCGTACTGATAAGTGTGGAAAAACACACTTATTTGGCACTTTTCTGTATTTAATTGGTATTGATATTGAGTTTATTTCTGTGCATAATTATGTAATTTTCATGTTTTTAGGCTAAAACCCCGAGAAGAAGAAGAATTGGGCGAAAAGGAGAAGAAATGGACTAAAAATGGACAAAAAGGTGAAGTTGGAGACCAAATTGCACAAGCCCAAAAGTTGGAGGACTTGAAGTGTAATGTATAAAGGGCCTAACTGAAATGAAGGTCAAAAGTCAAGGGCCAAATTGTACTAAATCAAAGT